TACAGTTTGGCCATAACATCCACCTGCACTGCCCTCACTTTTGGCAAATGAATTAGTATGTTACGTACACATACATGGTTCTATATGAATGATCAAAAAAATCACACAACCATTTTTCATTATCCATTCAAAAACATGTAACTTTTACCCACTTTTTCCCGTTTATTACCTGCCATTGGGCATCACCCGCCGCGCTTTACCACCGGGCTAGTATATATATATGTATGTTTGATATTTAGGACTAAGGCGATGGAATGGGTTTGACATTTTGGCAGCGAAGCGCACTTCAGCATCAAGTAGAAAAACAGTCTTACACATGCAATGAATCTTAAAAGCTACTCAATGTATTTTAAAAGAAAAGGAATTTTCAAAAATACTAATGAAACAAAACTTATTTGCAAAAAAATGACTAAAGTTACTTAAAATAGTGTCATGGACTCATGGTCACATAAATGTAAAACTTGAAAATAAGAGGCCGTTTGGCAACAATGTTTTTCGGCTTATCATACTTATCAGCTAACTTTTTTACCAAACACGTAATTTTTGCTTTAGTACACAGAATTGTGTAATAAACAGAAAAAGTAAGGTTGAAGTTACTTTTCTGGCTGTATTGGCTGAAGTTACTGTAGAAGATCATTTTAGCTATTTTAGATATAATTTTTTCTTTATTTTATTAATAAAATATATTTTAATTTTTTTAAATGAGCAGAATCAACCAATGCAACCACTTCAGTCAGAACTTCATAAATTTTAGCAGTATCAGCCAAATCAGCCGATTTTCGTGCTACCAAACGGGTTCTAAGTTAAATGGCTAAAGTATCTTCTATGGTAACTACATTTAAGAAGTTACATTTTTAAAATAACATTTATTTTAGTGAGGAATATGCAAGTATTTCTTAAAAAATACAAGTAGAATTTAAAAAAACACTTAAAACTTGTTGAATCAAATATACACTATAAGTGCTTTTATTGATTTTTGACATAGTACAAAAATAGAAGACATTATATCATTTTTATCTTATCACTTTAATGTAAAATTGCTCAAGTGCGTAACATTGTTGATTTTAGGGAGAACTGTCAAATAGGTCCTCCTACTATATAAAAAAAGTCAATTAGGTCCTCGTATTATGAAATCATTCAATCAAGTCCTTCAACTAAAATGTTCAATTTATCCTCTTAGCCGGTTTATAACGGGTGATACCGGTAAGTTGATGACTTCAACATCCACGTAGATCTTTTTCTTTTGTTTTCTTTATTTCTTCTTCCCCCTTCACTATCTTTCTCTCAATCGTTCTGGCTCGCTCCTAAGTTTTTTCTTTTCTTTCTTTCGTCTTCTTTAATTACTTTAACTCTCTTTCGTTATTTCTTTCTTTCTATCTTTCTTCCATCCTTCATTAGTTCTATTTCGTTCGATGGCCGGCCGGCAATGGAGGTTGGGAAATTTTTAGCCAACGGGGGCAGGCGGCGGTTAATGTGTTGGGCGACGAGTGGTGAAGTAATGGGCAAAGAGTGGTGCACGAAGGTGATTGGAGAAGATGTCGGAAACGGTCGACAACCAACGACTGCTCAGGAAGTTTTGGACGTCGGCCGGCGCGCGTCGGCAGTTGGAAACTTGTGGGCAACGGCCATAGACGGCGGTTTAGGAATATATGGACGCTGGCGATGGTGCCCTTCTGCAGAAACATAATGAAAAAAAGAAAATAAAGAAAGTAAGAAACTCATCATGACGCCGGATGCAGAAACCCAGGAAGAAGAAATTGTGGGGGAGGAGAAAGAGAGAAAAGGAAAAAGGGAAAAGAAAAAGGAAATTAAAAATGAAATAGTAAATGGAAAGAACAGGCCAACTGGACATGGGAAACCGGCATACAACCAATGAAAAAGTACTCATTTTGATTCTTTTTAATACTTTGAGGACTTAATTGATTCATTTAATAGTACGATGATCTAATTGACTTTTTTTATAAAGTAGGAAGACTTATTTGACAGTTTTCCATTGATTTTATCATACTATTTGACGTGCACTTTGTCGTGTATGCACTCAAAATAATAATCAATACAACACTAATACGTAGTATAGCGAAGTAAGGTTCGTATCCGCAGGGAAAGGAATACTTTTCTTTTTATAAACTAGTAACAAGGGAGGTTTTAGATTTGATTTGATTTGATTTAATTAACACTAAAATGAATGAGTTTAATTAATAAGAAGAAAACTTGGCTTTGCTTTTATCCACTTAATAAAATGTTCGTCAATCCCGGTTATATCTTTAACTATCTTCCTCTCGAATACTCAATCGAGGAGTATATCCAATTCATCGAGGGTAGATATTAATAACGAGACGCGCTCATTAATAAAATTTAGTACCGAGTTAATATAGAACACGCGCCGTATATTCACTCGATAGTAGCAATAAAATCAAGATGAAAACGATTGAGATTGATAACCTCAACACAAGCGGTTTATTGGTTTAATCAAAATAATTAATTCCCCTTAGCTTGGTTTATTAACCATGAAACGCATGCATTAATAACCCAAGTTTACTACCGTGAAAGGACCGAATTAATAACAAGCGTATCAATCGACCGAATCTAGTAATAATTAATATATGAAACAAAACTAGTTGATCCTTTAAGTAATGTTCAAAATATTAATATGAAATATGACTAGGAATTGATTAATACTCAAGGAAGAATATTAAAGAAGATGAATCCTACTATAGTCAATATCAAGATGTTAACTAATTGTCATCTTAGTAACACTCCCCAATATTAACATAGAGGAAGAAATAGCTATTATTACTATAACTAATGTCAAGATGTTAACTAATTTTCATCTTAGTAACACTCCCCAACATTGATATAGAAATAGTATTTAAAGGAAAAATTAATATTCAAGGAAGAAGATTAAAGAGAATAACTCACAACTTACAAATTCATTAAGCTTCAAAGTAGCAAAACCAAGATGGAATAGTTTAGCTCCTCATTTGGAGACTAAACATGATAAAAATATAAAGAAAGTACTTAACTAAACTGAGCTAAAGAGTATATGTGAATTGGTGATTTTATTGTGAAGGAAAGGGGTGTATTTATAGGCTTTTGGGAGCTGCAGGGTCTGATACCCGACCGGGTGTATGGGATACCCGACCGGGTATATCAGGAAATTGCCCAGAAAGTCACTTTTCTGGGCATACCCGATCGGGTAAAGGTAGGGTTTAATGCACCAAACCCCCCTGTGATTTAGAAATTCGGCACATTAGCCCCCTGTGATTTAAAAAATGCTTCAAACCCCCCTGTGTTTTAATTAATCATGCACAGAACCCCCTTTATGAATAATTTTAACGATTTGAAAATCACTTTTCCTAATATTTTGATTGAATATGCAAATAAATATGTCAAAATCTCTGAATCATACAAAAATGTTAATCATTTTTCTTTTATTTGACAATTGAATTTGTTCACATAAGGGATTTGGCGCATGATTAATTAAAACACAGGGGGGTTCGACGCATTTTTTAAATCACAGGGGACTAATGCGCCGAATTTTCAAATCACAAGGGGGTTTGGTGCATTAAACCCGTAAGGGTATATACCCGATCGGGTATGTGACAAATCTTGGGTTCTACTTCCAGAATTTGACTATGGTATGAGGTAAGATGTACAGACTCATTGCCCATGAAAATTGAATTTGGAATTCAATCTTCATTTTTTGAGAGGGGAGCCTGTACCAGCTATACCTTAAGTGCCATTGCATCAAAATTCTGTCATCTCCGTTGTTTCAAACTAAATAAATTTGATCTTTTCAAGGAATAAAAACCAGTCATATGAACTGGATATGAAATGGAGATGATGGGAGCTGAATCTAAGGACTCTCTGAAGAAGAAGAAGACATTCTCGCACAATCATATACAGAGAGAAAATAGTTTACTATGCGCAATTTAAAAAGTTTCACCTATCTCATTCAAAGCAAGACTGTTTAAATTTGACCACTTCGAGTATCGGCACAAAAGAAAATCCGTATGTATCACAGGCAATTTTAAATTATCTGTTATACAGTTGATTTTGTTGTTTCTGTGAAAATAAATTTTCTTCATAAAACTTCGATCAAAGGTTAATTTCACTTAGGTTAACCCAGTTTTTATGAAAACTTAAGTTTACCTTATTTCTTCATTATAATTACAGTTATAATTGTAGCTATTATTACAAATAGTGTAATAGGTATAAATAATATAATTTTAAATATGATTTATAATTATAATTATATTTGAATTATTTTTAATATAAAATAATAATAATTATTATAATTATAATTAAAATTAAAATTATAATTATAACTATAATTATAATTGTAATTATAATTAAGTTATATTTAATATATAATTTAAATTAAATAAATATTAATACGTAGTATAATTATAATTATTATTATATTTAAGTTATATTTAAGATATAATTTAAATTAAAGAAATATTAAAAATAGTGTAATAGGTATAATTAATACGTAGGATAATTATAATTAAATTATATTTAAGATATAATTTAATTTAAGATATTATTTAAATTAATAATAATAATAATAATAATAATTACAATAATTATAATTAAAGAAATATTAAAATTAGATCAGATCAGAAAGATTCAGATTTAATCAGAAGGATTTAGATCAGATCAAAAAAATTCAGACCAGACCAGAAAGATTCAGATCAGACCAGATCAGATCAGAAATATTCAAATCAGATCAAAACTTTAAAAATTCATAATAAAAACATTCAGATCGGGTGTAGAAAACGACTTCTTAATCCTATTTTGATCATTTCAATTTCAATTTTCCCATTTCAATTATCCTTTTATTTAGTCATATTTAAGAAAATCTCTATTTTCAAAAAAAAAAAAAAAAAAAAAAAATCTCCAATATGTGGAGTATATTATTCATAGATTCCTAATTTCCTAAATACTCGTATTGTTCTACGGAGTATTAGCTAGTTGTACACGAGCATGATACAGATTCCTAATCCAACCGGTTTTGTTGCTTGTTTATTTATAAACCCATTCATTCATTAATAAAGAGATAATTTTTCGGTTATCCAATCCGGTCTTCTATCACTCTGAAAGTCTTCTGAAGATAAAATCCGTCCTTTACAACGCTAGGCATATTATTTCTTGCGTTAATATAAATTTTTGGTTAAGGGTTTCCATGAGGAATTTAGGATTGATAGGCAAAAAAGCATTGCCCGCCGGCAGCGGGAAGGAAGACGAAGAAGAGGAAAGGGCAGGCTGGGGCGATTTAAACGAGGAGCTTTTGTGCTGTATATTGTCGCGTTTGGATGTGATAGGAGATGAGGTGAGCTTTCAGTGCGTTTGCAAATCATGGAAGCTGGCAGCGGCAAGAAGGATGCCGCCGCCACAGGCGGCGTTAGCATCTCATCACGATCCTCCGCCTGCTTTAGATTCGGCGCCGCATCTGATGTACTTGAACCACAGAACTGGGAGGTTCAATTTCCATGACCCGACTCGCAGAGGTGCCACATATTCAGTACACATTCCTGAACTATTGGGGGATTACCCGGGCGAGGTTGAATGTTATTATGCCAGCTGCGGTTGGCTGCTTCTTCGCAAGGGCCCCATGACATACTTCCTTTTTAACCCCTCCACCATGGATAGAATTGACCTTCCTCCAGTACGTGACATGCCCATCTCATTCGAATGCATGTGTTTCTCTGGTTCGCCCACTTCTTCCGCGTGCAGGATTGTTGGCTTTGTCAGTTATGTCCCACAAAAAGTGGCCTTTATTGGAGAAACAATGGTGGGATGTGATTCTTGGTCCGTGTTGGTCAACACTAGCAACCCAGATGACTTCGTGGCATCCATATGCCCCCCCATTGTCTGTGATGGGAGCTTTTATGTTTTGGGTGAATCTGGGAATTTGGGATGCCTCTGGTTTCGACCTCCCAAAAAGGGACTGACTGGGGTTTTTTGGGAAGTTATTGGCAAGCCAGCAGATGAACTCTTTGAGACATTCAAAGATCAATTCCTCCTCGAAAGCGATGGCGACATCATGTGCGTGGCAACTCTACAAGGAGGCGGCGAAGTTTGTGTTCTCAAGCTTGATCCACACACTCAAGTGTGGCAAAAGGTGGATGATCTCCAAGGAAAAGCCTTGTACGTTTCTCAATCCGCATCCTTCTCCCTTAAAGCAATTCCCAGAGGAACCGGTAACAAGGTCTACTTTCCTAGATTCTACAACAACCGAGGACTGTTTTATTGCATGAGAACCAAGGAGTGGCGCAACTTTCCACATACTTTCTCAAGTACAAACTATTACAATACCAGTTCCTTACTTCATTCTGCCTGGATTCAACTTTCTCCTCATCATACTAGCTAGCTAGTTTAAATCACTTACTGCTCTTGTATAAACTTACCAACAACATTACTTTGTTTCAGATATTTATCTAATTTTATAATTGCTAAATTTGACTGTTAGTGGTCCTGACTATTCATTATGAGAACGTTTAAAACTATTGTTCCCTGCCGGTATTCGTCGACATCAATGCAGTTTTCCTCATTTTAACCAATTAGAAGAAGCAAAAGGGACTGACATGGTTATCCCCTTTGTTGCATCTGTGACCTTGCGCTGAACTGAGATGATCAGGTCAGACAGTGGAACTCTTCTTAGAAGCGTGCCAATAGAAAGAACCAGGCACTACTTTGTTCCAGTTCAAAACCCCATTATATTTTATTAATCTTCTTCTTAATAGTGATTTTTTTACAGAAGTAATTGAGATACTTTACAGGTAGCAATTTAGAATAAAAGAACCAAATCAAACGTAATATGAATCTTATAGAAATGCTCTACTAGAGTTTGCTTGTTCAGATCCACATGTCACGAAGCTTACCTGGAATTCATCCTCCCGATTCGAAGTTATTGGGTGGGCATAAAATGCAACAAAAATGGAACTAGAGTTATCCCTATCCATCTTCCAGAAACACTTGAGTTTTACTATGTGTTACGTTTTGGAAAAATTGATTCCCTAGAGAGACTTGAATGCTGCTATGCTTTAGAAAATAAAGAATTTGTTTGCATAGTACTCCTCCATTCTCATTGAATACTCAGCAAGGAATCAGTCCAATCTCTTGTAACTCAACGAGAATTTGTAACTCTGAGCTTCATTTTAGAATTTCTAAGATCGAGAATGTCCTTGGATATTTTTTCAATCAAAGTTCTTAATTGCATAACTCTTGATTATTTCTTGTGATCAGATTTATGTTCAACTAATGTTCTTAAAATGGTTACTCTAAGATAGATTTCTAATTCCGATTTAATATTTTTTTCATTTATGATTAGAAATAGTTGACTTGGGAATATGGTTTAGAATAGGTTATTTACTTTATGGTTTTTTTATAAAAACGGAATCAACTATTATTAATCAAATCATTGTTCAAATACAACAAATATAACTTGGTGGATTATCAAATTAAAACCAGCCATCAGACATAGAAATAGCTGCCCTAGCTAGTTGCTAGCTAGTTGAAGAGAATCGTATTCAACATCAATGTGATCCCATCCAACACTCTTATTGAAAGTGCTTCAGCCTCCTTAGGGAGATTTTCTCCGGGCTTGTGAATAGCTCCCCCGGCTAGAAACAATCCTTCGTTATCTCTGGCAACCCATCCAAGTCCAATAGCACCAGACCCGCGATGGACAGCTTCGTCAACATTGACCTTATGTCAACCTGCCTCATGTCGGACCCAAAACGAGGCCACTGGAGCTACCTGTTTAGCCGTTGAACTCCCCACCTGGGCTCGTCGCCAAGCTTCCAGAGAGGAGTTTGCAACAGCTGCATTTCTGCTTCTCCAAATACTCGAGAGATACATGACAAAGCTGCTGCAAAAATTCTCATCCCTGCATCTAAAAGTCCATCTGTCCAGACCACAAAAGACTGCCCTGCAACTTGTAAGTTCCAATTCAAGGTTCACCATAGCTGTTGAGTCACTGAACACTCCATAAAGAGGTGTTCATCACTTTTGTTTTCTACTGCACACATAACACAAATTGGTGAACAATTAACTCTTTTCATTCTCAGTTTATCCGCTGTCGGAAGGCAACCAGAACACAGCTGCCAAAAAAGGCTTTCACTTTTGGAGGTAAATGTAATCTCCACATCTTTGTCCAAGCGAAATTCTGTACCACCGCTTCGCTGAAAGTCTTAAAATGATAAGCACTCTTAACCGTATAACGCCCTTGCTCTTCCCAAGGCCAAATAAAACTATCTGAAATTTATCTCAAGCTCACCGGAATTCCAAGAATCATCACTGTCTCTATGATTAAAAAATTCAGAAATAATATCTATGTCCCAGCCAGGAGACTCCAAACATAATAAACCCTTTACTATGACGTCTTCCCGTCCGTGCACCACTTCTGACTCCACTCTCGGATTTTCTAATTTCGGTAGCCATGGATCTTTCCAAACCTTAATCAAACTCCCATCACCCACCCTCCAACGCAATCCCTTTTTAACCATCTCTTTAGCCTCCCAAAGACTTCACCAAATAAAAGAAGGGTTGTGGCCAACTTTAGCCTCTAAAAAAGAATTTTTGGAGAAATATCTAGCACGAAAAACGGAAGCTGCTAAGCTGTTTGGATTTTGCATAAAATTCCACACTTGTTTCTCTATCATTGCCAGATTGAACTCCTTAAGCTTTCGGAAACCCATACCTCCCTTTGACTTTGGTGAATTCATTCCCGCCCTTCTCCTTCCACTTTATACCACGCCCGGATGAGCCAGTCCACCAAAATTTATTCATTAACTTTTCCAGCTCCGCATAATGCTCTTGAGGAAATCAGAATACCTGCATAGCATAGCTGGGCATAGACTGTACCACGGCTTTTAGAAGGACCTCACGTCCTGCTCTTGAAAGAAACTTATGATTCCAACTATTAAGCCTCTTGATAACCCTTTCTTTAATAAAGGCCAAGACTTCCTTCTTACTTCTTCCCACAAGCGATGGCAGATTTACTTTATGGTTTATTCCCTGGAGATTGAACAGGCAGTGGAAAGACAATCACTTTCAATAAGATGAATAAAGGCTGGTTTGTTAGAAACATGTGAAGTTCTTCATATGTTGCTAATAGTTTTTTTGGAAACTTGATCCATAAGTCGCTGTGATATAACATCTATTTCCTGCTACAAAATTCCACGCTACTACTCCAACTTAAGGGTAGGAGGGAGAAAACAACTTCATTACCGGATGGTCTTTTGAAACGCAGCCTGCTACAACTTGTCAACCACTTTAAGGGTCCAAGGGCCTTTCTTTTACAAAAAAACTACCATTGTTTTAACAAAGCTTTATTAAACAGTGTTTTTGCTTGATTTTGTGCAATAGTATTTCGTATATGTACAGCAATATATTGACACTTTTCATATATATGGACATAAACACTACCACAAGCATAGGTATGAACCCTCCATAAATTTAGATCTTTTCTAATGCATGTGAAAAATTCTGCAGGAAATTATCTGAAAAAAATCTTTTTATTGACCCGTCCTCATTTATCCTCCTGCATCTTTACTAAATGCTGGCGCAGCTAATGGGGCAATGTCGTGCTCGGATGCAGCCCAAGTTTGATAAAAATGTTTTACTTTATTTGTAGATAAAGTAACTTTTAAAAAATTACTATAGGAATGCATTACTTTATTTGGTCTATCCAACATGATTTTCCCCATCTTACTGTATGATGATTATTGAAATATTGTTTCAATCATTGATTTTCCTCATCTCACTTAGCAGTGTTATAAGTTTGGGACATATTTATTTTTTTTGCTTTTCTAAATTCTTCGATTTCGGTGAAGATTATATAGTTGAGTTGGAATGTTGTTTACAGTTTCTAAGAGTATGATATGATTGTAAAGTGAAATTAACGATCTTGGTTCTATTTATATATGCCAAGGTCATATGGCAGGCATATTTTCACTTAGTTTTAGTCCTAAAATATTTAGGATTTTTTTTGCCACTTCAGACTTGTGTTGATTATTTGACGATTTTGTCTATTATTGGTTGTTGGCTGCTGATATTTGATGCTTTAAATTTCACTTATCTTTCCCAAATTGCTGGAGGCCAATATCTCAATTGATATAGCAATGTGGCATATTTGCAAGAAGGTGCACATAGCTTAAATTTGCATTTTATGACAAGATCAATATGCTTATTAGCTTATGACTTACTTCCTATTCACACGTAATTTTTTTATGTTCAACAAAATACTACATGCAGCTTTCTAACTTGGAAAATTAACACCCATTTTCTTGCTTATTTGAGATCCTATGTAATCCCTTAGAGATCCTATGTCGTAGCTTGCTTAGAGTATATTCCTCACTTTGAGGCGTTTGTGTTCTTCCCTCTCAGGATGGAGAAGAATAAGAAGACAGCTTCATCCGAGAAAGCTGGTACCTTCACCGACAAATATGTAATTGATCCAAATCAGCCCCAGCCCCAGGTTATGATGAATAGTAAGATAATGGTAAAATGATGGTTGATGTTGACATCAACACAGTTCTCACTTCTCGAAGAGGTTGAAGAGACAAATAGGGAGGAGGAAGCAGTGAACCAGAAAACAGAGGGTAGAAGAAATGAACATAAAGAGGTGAGTGCACAGAAGGTGTCTGAGAAAGAGGTACGTGAGTACACAGAGGTCTTTGGCTGAGATACATATCAACGGAGGAAGATTTTGTCAACCTTTCAGACAGCACGGAATGTGATCGCATCTCAACACGGGGATACTGGCTAGTGGGATGCTTTACAGGCACTTTCTTGAGTATGAGGGCTATTCATCTTCTCATGGAAACCTGGGGAATTAGATGTAAATTGGTAACACATGAACCAGGTTTGGTTGTCTTTCAGATAAAAAATGAAGAGGATTGAGCAAAAGTTCTTATGGAGGGGCCTAATGTTGTTACGGGGAGAGCACTAATGTTAAAAAAAAGCAGGCACGGTTCATTTATGATGATGAGGAGTTCTTGAGAGTACCCATGTGGACTATACTGCCTATGGATTGTTGGAAGGAGGAGATATTAGGAAGATCCCTTCAAGAGTTGGCTTGCCGATATTCACTCACGGTATTACTAGTGAGTAGTGACAACTGACGAGATGAGATCGGATTATGCTAGAATATTGGTGGGAGTTGATGTTTCTAAGCCTCACGCTTTGTTTGTCGATATCAAGCTTCCCTCTAGGCGGAACAGAAGACAATTCATCATCTATGAGACCTTCCCTAATTACCGTTTTCACTATATAAAGCATGGACATCGTATAGTTTAGTAAGAAAAAAGCAATTGGGGAGGATCATATAGTTACTACACTATTGGGGAGATTTTAACTCTGGTAGACAGTAGACACTGAGCTGGGGGAGAACAAGGCTAATGATATTGTAAGGGATGATGCGGTACCAGAACCCAATAATATCGAAGGAGCTAACATCTTACCTAATCCTTGTGAGGAAGTTTCTGCTATAGCAAAGGAAACAGAGAAGGTTGCTCAGGAAGAAATACGGGAAAAGGAAACACTATTTATAGCATTTTTCATTGAAGCATCTAACCAAACACTTGGTAGATATTCTGGCTTGGTAGTTTTGGCACTTATCCTCGGAGGAATTAGCCTTAACCCAACAGCCTTGATAGTTTTCCAAACATTGGGGACACCCTACTTATGTGTGAACATATCTTACACAAGTGTTCCAAATATGATGAACTGTTCCTCACGATTTCAATCACTAGATGATGACTCCACTCCAAAGTAAATTGCTGGATTAATTTGAAATGTAGCTGCAACACCGACCTGAATAGAACAATGAAAAATGAGGAAGGATATCAGGAGATATACAGAGAGGTGAACTGGTGAAGCCTATAAAATTTGAAATACCAAGTAACAAAGAAACAAATGGGTATGGGCTGGCAATTTTTTAATGTCAGAGAACGTTTGATCAAATAATAAAGAACATAAACTTTGCCATTAACGAGATGCCCCAGTTTCGAACTAATCTGACTGTTCCCTACTTCCCTATAATTATCACCTTTTAGACTTTTAGTGTGTCTTAGGGGTGGACTCGGTCTGGTCTCGGTTTCCCATATCTAAGACCGGAATCGACCCAGACTAATATGGTTTGCGGTCCCGGTCTCGGTCCCAGTCCGGTCTACCCGGCCGGTCGTGGGTTGGTCCGGCCTTGTTTTTTTGTACTGAAATTCACACATTTAAAAAACAAATGTATATTCATTACAAACACTACATTGATTTAGAGTAGTAACACATTTATAAATTACAATTGAAAATGTAACTAATACGTAGTATGATCAAGTGTGTTTAGTATGGGTTGGGATATTAGGGCACAGCCTATCCGCCCAAGTACCGGCCCAATATTCCTAAGGAGCCCAACTTTTACACCGTCTGTCAAACAGATAAACCCGCACAGGAAGAGCTGCACGGCCTATGCCGAACGGGTATGACCGGATGGTCCAATTATATACCACTTGAGCCATTTTTCCCATTGCTGAAAGCTGGCCATGGCGGAACATTCAAGATAGTTGGCGGGAATACTCGTAATTGACGGGAAGCGCATTTAATGCAAGAGATATGGAGGATTTTATGGTTGAGAGAGCATCCACTCATGATCGGCCACGTCATCCTCTCCAACTACTACTTCATAGTATAAATATCATCACTTATTTCATTGTAAATGATTAGCAATTTGATACTCTTAACATTATACTTCTCTCTAGGCTGCCTGAATATTCCCGTTCGCCAGTCTACATGTAATCAGACTATTTTCTGGAACAGGATTGGATTACTTGCAGTGATTTGTTGCTTCTACACTTGTACCATACGTGTATCTTAATCAGATCATTCCAACGATATCCAAATGAGTGTGTTGGGCTTTTAGACTTAGAGGAATAAACCTCAACAAGAGATTATAGTTAATTATATAATATGATACGTATATAATATATACTGAATATGAATATACTCCCCCTTCCTTAATAACTTTGCCATGTGTGACCGGCACGAGGATTAATAAAGTAAAAACTGTGTGGTTGAGGTTTCTGCAGAGGAGAGAGAATTAACAGGAATCACACATTCTTTGCCAAAAAGGAAAACTGACAAAGTTAATAAGACATCCAAAAAAGGAGAGTTGACAAAGTTATAAGGGACATGAGTATTAAATATGGAAGTATAGGAGTAGGAATGTAGGATTAGAGCATCCACATTCATGCTACTATAATAATCCGATTATTTAATGACCTGTAGATTTTTACAAAATAATCTCAAACCTTTAAAATTACATCATTCATCATCTCCAAATAATCAGATATTTTGTGGTTCTGCATTGACTAATTAATACGGAGTACTAGCTTCACAATAATCTTGAAATGATCAGGATTCATATTTCAATCCCGAATTACTTTATCAAATAATCTCACCAAATAATTTTGGTCACCCAATCATGATTCCAAAATTAATCCGCCACATCACCAACTTAATCCTCTAATTATCCTATGGATGGAGATGCCCTTAGAGAATATAAATAATTATATAGTATAATAACTATATAAAGACAATTATAATATGATTATATTAAAGATGAAAGCGTAGGAGTACGAATGTAGGATTAAAGACGTAACACCCCAAAATGTGATCTAATAGTTAAGATACATCCAAATAATTTTCTCGATATTATTACCCTATCAAATTAAACATCTATCTTCTCCTATTAGATCGTTTAATACTTTTCATGACATGCATCTTCTTTGAAAGAAGTTTCTAAGCAATTTAAATCAAATGGGAAACAATAATGTGTCCTAAATAATAGATAAAGTTTGTACTAATTTTTATTTTTGGAAGAAAAGTTTGTACTAAATTGATAAGGCAATACGGGTAGCTCCAATTAAAAAATAAAATAAAAATTTTCATTTGATTAGGGATGAGCAACCAAATAAATGTCTATTCATACAAGATAATTGACATCTCAAACAAGCGAGGAGCCACATTGTTTTGAAGGAATAGTTAAATCAAGGAAGACATGGTAAATTAATATAATGGACATCGAAACAAATGAATAGTAGCCAGCACAGCTCATGGTAATCGGATGCTTAGCTTGACTGTTGGGACTCAAAAAGCTGAAAACCAAAACGCTGGAGGGGGCAACGTTTAGATTCGGCTGGTCCTTGACAACCCCTCCATACCCTTCTGAGGTGAATGTCCATTGTCGTTGTTTCCTCTTAGCAGCGTCCCTGGTACAAATTTTCAACAAAGCTCTTCGAATCCTTTATTTGTGTTACACCCAATTTAATGAAACAAATGAAAAATTGGAAAAATGAAGAAGAGACTCCCATAGAAAAAAATGGGCTGCTACACTAGATCCCAAGGGACTGATGAAATCCAGATTTGCTTATGAGTTTTCGATCCATCGGAAATCAAATGATAAACAAGGAAGAAGCAAAAGAAGAAAACAGAGTAGGAGAAACAAACCGATGAAATCCTGATTTACTCTACATTCGTTTTTAATACGGAGACTCGATAACGCGCATACTTTTTTTTTTACAAAACTGTGTGCATTTTTTATTAATTTTAATTGTTTTTTTTAATTAAATACCAGATCAGACCAGACTTGGGTAGTTATAAAAATATAAAGAAATCAGACCAGACCGGATCAGACCAGCAAGTTACAGTCCAAGTAAAAACATGCTAAATTGTGGGGAGGACTACTAGACATAAATTACTGATTTTGATCCATGAGAGCATGCAAATAAAGAAGGGAGAAAGACCAAAAGTAATACTAAGGTTTTTAATGAATCTCAGATAGGACACTCGGGTTTTTGGTGGACCAAATAAACACAAATTTTAACTTTTGTGTTCATTTTTAACCACCCATTAACCTTGCCGTTCCAACTACCGTTTTCCCAGCTAAAACACCTGCGATTAACCAAACATACAACCCCCATTTATGGACGAAGAACACTCCACTCTTCATAATAGCCCCCTCCATTCCGCCCTCACTTCTCATTCTTCCCGGCTTACCCATCTATTCTTTCCCTCTAATCGTCTTTTCTGCAACCAAATTGTCTATTACCGTCATTGAACTATTGAAATATCCAGACCCACCTGCAGATTCTTGTTCATGGTTATCGAATTGGAAAAGGACTTCACATGTGGAAATCGTGGGTTTTATCGAATTGACGCACTGAGTTTCTCTCAAAAGGAGGATTTACCTTTTCGTGGGTATTTTGCTTTGAAAATGTATAAGTTTTTCATATTTTTCTCTGAAAAGGAGGATTTAGATACGGAGTATCATATTCGGTTTCTCTTTCTGTTTCACAAGATCATAAAATCCAAAATGTTTCAAATTGCTTGCGTTTTTGTGTGGGATAGTGTGGAAGTGTGTGTGGCCTGTGGGGAAACATGAAAACATACTTTTCTCTGAAATCTGAATCATAGCAACACAGAAAAAATTTAATACATAAGCTGTGCTATTGACATTGTTGGTGTTAATTCTTTACTGTTTCTAAATCTTAGGAAAGCCTTAAGAACGAAAAAGAATGTTTTGCTTAAGAATGGGCATACAGTGTAGTTATAGCTTATAAGATTCACCATATAAAAAAAGATCAGTGATTGAGAGCCTGAAAGAAAGAAAAAAGTAACGGATGGCTTCAGGTAGTGCAGCGGAGGAAGCCATGGATATGATTCTGCATCTTCAGAAGGACAACACCATAACCAAGAAGCGGTTAGGTGGCTGCAATGGCTGGTTTCAAAACAAGAGCTGTCATCAGAAAGTGTTGCTTTGGAAGATAAACTGGGATTTGGTGGTCAAACTTGGAAGCAGTTTATGATGATGAATGATGGAGACTCCTCTAAAGAGTAAAGACGAGACATCCTCACTTTAGTTGAGAAACGGCCGTTTAATGGCAAATGTTAGTGAATGGTTAAAAATGAACGTAAAAGTTAAAATTTGTGTTTATTTGGTCCACCAAAAACCCGAGTGTCCTATCTGAGATTCATTAAAATCCTTAATGTCCTTTTTGGCCCTTCTCCCAATAAAGAATTTATACGCACTTTTGGCTTCTTTTTTAGTCCCAGCCTTTGATTGAAGTAAAATGATTTATACGTACTTTAAGTAAATGTTGGTAATATTATTTTAATATGCCATAGCTAAAAATAAATAAAATACTTATGTCCTTATATGTCTTTTTACATGCAAAAAGCTATTCTCAAACAACTAATTTACCAAACATTTGTAGACAAAAGGCTAACATAATCAGCCAACTAAAATTGTTGACACAACCAGCTATGGTCAATCAGCTGTCATAACCAGCTAATAGCTAACTGCCAATAGCTGATTGCCAAACAAGGCCATTACTGAGAGAGCGACAGGAAGAAAAGTACTACATGGAGGTTATCATAACAATAAAATTTTAGAAGAATCTATATATATGTTCAGTACGCGGCTCCCGCTCTCATTTTATTCAGGTTATACTTTAATATTGTCAGACTAGTATAATTTCTCTCCCCGTTCCTGTTATGTTATGTTATGAGGATGAGAAATATTATACGTAGTACCTAGTATAAGCCTAGAAATATGTGTTGTTTACTTTATAATGCAATAATAATTGTTCTTTAAATACATTTGATATTAATTAGTTACGACCTAAAAGAAAAGAAAAAAATTTACTCCGTATAACTGTAAGACCATCTCCAACAAACACTAAATCTTTCTCCAAAATGGGGAATTTGCCATTTTTTTGCTCCAACAGTTGCACCAAATGTTTCACCATTTCACCAAAATGGGGGAAGGGGCTTTTGTTTACGCCATATATGTAGGGCCGAACCTACATGTTAGGCAAAGAGGCAATTGCCTTAGGCCCACAATTTTGGGAAAAAAATTAGCGCCCAAAAATATATGATTTTCCTTTATATATATACCCATAACTAGTAGGCCCAATTTGAATTTGCAACTTTCCAAATTCCAACTTCAAGCTTTGAAGAGTTCTCTGATCTAGAAGAGACGAAGACATTAATTCATTCCTTTTCCGAATATAATCCCATTATTCTAGGTAAGTAATTAAGTATAAATGTTTTTAATGTTTATTTTTTTAGGATGCTTAAGGCCTAATTATACTATTCGACTCAGACCAAAAAAATCCTAGGATAGACAGTGCATATATGGCGCAGGATCGGGTGATGCACCATCTTTTTTTTACCTTGGCAATAAAGTGTGTTTGCAAAATATATCTATGTGCTTGCTGTTCTCTAGGCTTTTGATATACGGAGTAGTGGAGTACTACGCAACTCTTTATTCTAAAGAGATTTATATATACTTAAGAATATTTTTATCTGTATATCCTATATAATTTTAAGAGTAATATTGGTAATCCCATCCGTTTGTGCATTTATAATTTGTACCTTTATCGATTATAGTAGTATTTTAGTTTGTATTTGTGAAATAATAAGTGAAATATCAAAATCATATTAAATGAGGGCTAATGTATAAATATATGATAATTAGATAATTAAATATAAAATGGTAAAAAGTTAGTAAAAGAATAAAAAGAATATTCCTTTATAGTGATAAAAATGGTGTAAACTGTTGGAGATAAAATTCACACCATTTTAGTGCAAAAAATGGGATAAACTGTTGCAGACAGGGGTGGGAAAAACCGAACCGAAACCCGGAAACCGACCCTGGACCGACCCGAATTATGATCCTGGTCCGGGTTTTTTCTTTTTAACCGGCCCGAATTAAAAAAACCCGGACCGAACCGAAAATTCCGGGCTCATTAACGGGCCTTAAAATCTATAACCCGGCCCGGACCGAAAAAACCCGAAACAATTAGTTTTAATATAAAATTAATATAGTATATGAATATAAATAAAATATTTCCTAATATATGATTATAATCACGGTGGATAAAAAAAAGATTTA